TCCTTCCTTCCCTCCCTCCCTCCCTCCCTCTCTCTCTCTCTCTCTTTCTTTTTTTCATTGTTTGTTTTTGTCCAACAAATCACAGGAGTATGTTTCCCATTCATTCTCAAACGATGCTTTTCCTAGTCTTCTATCATCAATTGTGCTGAGCAGAATTCCCACATAGCCCCCACTATCTCATTCCACTGGCGACCCTGGATATCCTGCTCTACATATCATACCTCATTGTTGCCATTCACAGATCAGTAATGTGAATTTGAGACAAACTGTGGATAATGAGCAAAGGCTTTGGAACTGAAGAATGCCTGGCCTGATCCTTATGTTAATTTGCCTGTAATCTTCGGTGTGTAGATAAACTCTCAGAGCCTGTTTTCTCCATTGTATCTTGGGAGGACATTTATTGAAGAGAGGTGATTAGAGCCAGAAGAAAAAGACTCGATGCACAATGACGGGTTTAAAAGGGAAAACTTAGCTTGGCTTGTTGATTTTACTATTACATGTCACTGAGAGAGGTAAGACACAGAAGGATTTTCGGTGTGCAATAAAAGTAGAAAAGTTTAAGAGTAAGCACGGCAAAATGAGAAAATGAGATCTAATGCCCAACACAACTGTAAAAAGACATTCCTTTGAAAGAAAAAAGCATCGGTTCAGTTTTTGGCAGTGCGGGCTGGGTGGAGATTTGCACAGTGGCATGGTAGAAATATTCTACCTGTGGACTGGAGAGGTAGTAGCAGAGAGTTTACGCATTTGTAAGCATTCTATTGATGTGTATGTGAACTTACACCGTGTGCCTTGTAGGTATGTCAATGAATCTGTCAACTTGATACAGTGCAAAAGCGTAGGGTAAAACAAGGATTATTGATGTAAAAAAATAATAATAGTAAAAAAATAATAATAATAAAAAGACATTTGAGAGGCTAACAAGTCTCTCCCAAGAGTGCCTGCCGAGCACAGTGAAAAAGGTTTGAAATATTCAGGAAATTTATCGTGACTAACATAGAAGCTAATGGACCGAGAATCAAAGATGCTTCAACAATAGCACACCCC